ATCTCTATAGCAATATTCCGTAATTTCATACCATCGCTATTCAACAGTTGGGCCACACATTAGTGACAAACGCGTTGGAATTGTTTGTAATTATAATTATATTATCAGTCCATCGATTAGTAGATCAACTATTAGGATGTCTTCGTCGGCCGATAGGCCACGGGTCCGGTCGTCGACGTTCGGCTCCCTTCAGACGCTGACCCGAGCGCTCCGGGAGTCGCTTCGTCTCCGGAAACTGCGGAAACAAAAACGACTCCGAAATGAGGCAAACAGTGAACAAATGCGGCGAAGAAGCAAATCCGTGGGCAATGCCTTCGTCGACGACGAGATCAGTGATGTATAAACCATTTTAACCATGTTTTTGCTTATTATTGTTTATACCACTATTATGCAATTTATTAATTTATTTGATTTTGCATTATTATTGATTTATTTGTTAGATTTCCCTTTATTTTCTTATGTAATCAACAGTTTATATTAATTATAATTACATAACATAGCATTAAATTGTATGTACGCTATGTGCATTTTTAATTTTTTTAATCAGATAAAAATGATGTTGTTTTTCAACAGAATTCCCAATAATATTATTAGATTAATAATATATTTGTACGTAAACCCAGAAAAACGTGCTATATTCATACAAAATTATACAGTATTAGCTGTAATTTAAATACATAGTTATTTTTTTATAATGTGATGTGACTTTTTATATAAAACAATTAAGTATTTCTTGAGAATTAAATTAATTATATGGTTATTAAATACCCTCATATTGCATAATGATGGTTTGTTGTACCATATTATAAGTTATATCATATTACATTATGATATTTTTATCAATCTCCTATGATTCCTAATATAAAATTACCGTTTAATTAAATTGCAATATTATTTGTTTAATAAGCTTTATGTTGCTTAAATCTACATAAGCAATTAAATTGATTGCTTAATTATTTTATTATAATCTTATGGTTTTATTTACAAAATTAAAATAGTTTTACATATACAAAAAAATCTTGTATCTTGAAATGGTCGGGTATTGACAAATGACTTCAAGGTAGAAGGATTTTAAAATGTTTAAAAAATTCAAGTTACAATGTTCAAAATGGGTAAATCTTCCAGTTAAAAATTTATAGTTTACGTTAGATGTAGAAATAGTGAGAATATATTGAAAAATATCTCATGTTTCCAATTAGATATTTGTTCTACACATTTAAACCTAAATATGTCCAGTAATTATTTTAATTATACAGTATAAATTATACATATTTATTTGTTTAATCTATTTACTAGTAAGTTAATTTCATTTACATTTAAAGTATTTATAAAACTTTAAGATAAAAGTATATATTCTTATCTTATAGTAAAATGGTAAAAAATAAGTTAGAAGGTTCAGAATATGAGGGAATTTGACATTAGATTTCTGTGGAATGAATCGGGACTTTGAGTTTGACATCAAAATAGATAGAAATCCAAGATGGAAGGTTTTAAGATATAAAGTTTAACTGTATCTGTATTTGAAAATATTTTATGTAATAATCTTTATTAGTCAAATTGATATTGAAATCAAAATAATAGTATTATATTTTTTATATGCCCCTATTATATAAAGCCCCATTTATAATAACTACATAAACTGTATATCATAAATAGTTTTGTTAGTAAAATGCATACATATTTTGGAAAGAATAATGCATCATGGTAATCTGTTGCATCCGATTTAAGCATCAAATCGTACTAAATATATGCCATAAAACAATTCCGGTGTTTGCCATAGCAATCACACGATCACTACAAGAATTTTAATGATTATATTATTCGTGATTTAGTACCAAATTGTACGCAAAACACGAGAATTGAATTCATTTTAATTCAAATTCAACTTCTAATGAGAGATAAATATTCACTAAAATAGTTATAAATAGTTATAAATGGCTTAAGTCATGCCATAATCATGTTTATTAGTGACTGAATACGTCAAACATTAAATGTGGTAAACAAACTAAATGAGTAATAAAAATAATGGAAAATTTACCTAAATGTCGAGACAATAATTACCAATTTGGTCGTAATTAACAATAATGTTTTTTAAGATTATTTCTTATAACTAACAGTTGTATACGACTATACAATTGTATAATACTGTAATACACAAGTTTACTATAAATACAGGGAATTTAATTTATATTCAATGAGTTGACCATTTAATGACTTTCTATGAATTTGTACGAGAATACAAAAATTGTTTTCAAATAATTTAATAAAAATCACTACAAAAGCCCAATAAAATGCGCAAATGTATGGCAAAACCCCTATTCATACTTATAGTCTTTAAATATAGATTTAAAATTTTCCAATAACACAAAATTGAGACAAAATTATATTTATAATTAAAAAGCTAAACATTTATTTAATGGTAATTTACAGATAGGGATCAGTGTAGTGATGGCGTCAGACATCGGTCCGGTGTTGAACCCGACGAAAGTGGTGCAGAAAAAGGCCCGATTGCCGCAAACGAGGCGTCAGTCCAAGTCTGTGGACGACGTCGAGT